TAATCCTCTCTTCCTCACTCTCTCTTCTTCTTCATATACGTCTTCGTCTTCTCTTGCTTTTCCCTTAATCCTCTCTGTTCTTCATCATATACGTCTTCATCTTCTCTTCCTATTCCCTTAATCCTCTATTCCCCTCTCTCTGTTCTTCATCATATACGTCTGACTTTTGTGTTTAATGTGTGTGAGTTTGTGGTCTGAATGTATTTTGTTTAGCTTCCTGTGCGATTGTGTTAAAAGTCACGCACATTAAGCACAAACCTCTCGCACATTAAGGACAATACTCAGGCACATTAAGTACAAAACTCACGCACATTAACATTGCATACTCACGCACATTAAGTACAAATCTCAAGCACATTAAGCACAAGACTCATGCACATTAAGTATAAAACTCACGCACATTAATCAACCACACAACCGCACGGGAAGCCACAAATGCACCTGATCCCTTCCCTATATATATATAGTAATAATTAAATGAGACCACCTCTTCCCGTAAGTCCTGTAAAACCGTTTGTAAATGTATACAAGCTACGACACAAATACATACAGACTAGATTGTGTGCAATTCGCTCCATCAGCATGAATGCACACAATTTAATTTTAACATCATATCATTAGTCACTCTATCGTGGATAACAATTTAACAATTTCTAAACGCTTAAAACTTTGGTTAAGGATATTGCTTTTGTTTCACCTTGGAACAATGAGTATATAAAATGTATTACATTATACAATCAAATAATTAATGGAACTCTATTATAATCGACGATATGTTAGGATCAAACGTTTATTACTACGTCAAAATGTATAGCTAGTAGTGAAGATTTAACTTTGGGAAAATGACACTTTTTCCCCCTAAGTTATATACTTATAGCACTTTTTCCCCCTCAATTATTTATGTAAGCACATTAGCCCCCTCAATTATTTTAAAAGTGGTGATTTTTCCCCCTAATATATTAAATTGACATTTTTACCCTTAAAGTAAACATTTTATTTATTTTACTTCTCCAACAAATTATTGGGTATATGTAGCGATTACCATGGTTCGGTTCGTACTGAACCAGACACTATAGCAATCGAATTAAAAGTTTTCAGTTATGATTCAGATTTAGAATCCAATATTTGGATTTCAATTTATTAAATTTAAGAATAAAAAAAACTGGATCATGAACCGTGAACCGGTGATTCCGGATCCAGTTCACGATTTTGAACCGTCTTTATTTTAAAATTTTATTTTTTAGTTCGGAACATGAACCGGCCATTCTGATCCGCGATTTTAATAAACTCTAAATATCGCGTTTTGATTATAAATTGTAATTGAAATATTTTGGTTTGGTTGCTATAGTATCTGTTTGGTTTGGAGAATAAAAATAAATGAAATATTTACTTTAAATATTTATTTTAAGGGTAAATATGTCCATTTAACATTTCAGGGGGAAAAAGAGCCACTTAAATAATTCTGGGGGGAAAAGTGCTATAAGTATATAACTTAGGGGGAAAAAGTGTCATTTTCCCTTTAACTTCTTTTTTTTTTTTTTTTTTTTTTTATAATATTTACGTAACAGTTTGCACCATATTTCGATAGCAAGATACTAGACTCGGCCCTCATATTAAAGTCTCTGCCAACACAACAAATTTCAAAAACCTCCAACCAAAGCATGACTAAGCACCTAAAAAAGACGAACAATTAGTTTACAAATGATGATTATATACAATATAACTTTTAGTGATGTCCAAACTCATTTAAAGAGTTTTACCTTCAAAATTCTTATTACTTAAGCAAAGTTTTAAGGCTAGCATATCTCACTTTGATTAAGGAGATATTGTCATAAGCTAAGAGATATGAATTGTATTTTTTTAAATTTTATTTTATAACTGTTTGGTGCTTAAACATAATTGGTACTAAAATTAAGATCATTAAAAAAAAATGGTAAAATGATTTCTTTGAGTAACAATGGACCAAGATGAAATGACAGCGTGAGATACTTGACTACAATCTGCAAATTAAACCACATGAGATAAAGTCTGCCCAAAGGGAGACAAAAATCTAGCTAAAAGCTAAAGAATGGAGTGTAGTAGGAGACAAAATTTAATGTGTTGTTACTTTTTGACCAATATATTTGTGCCATGGCAACAACCTATGCATGCTTAATTATGAGGTCAATGACACGAACTCATAAAGAGAGGGTTGCTCAAAAGCTTGGGAATCCTATGCAAATGATATTTTGAATATGATTAGTAAGACATTATTATTATTGGAAGTCACTAAAACAAGCTATCTTAAGAACCCTTTCAATTGGAAGTCACTAAAACAAGCTATCTTAAGAACCCTTTCATGATCAATTGGAGGTGATAGAGTAAAGATATTTCTCTTTAATTTTCTTTTCTAATAGCTAAAAAGTGATGATTCTGAGTGAGTTAAGATCAAAGTTTAGAAAGGAAGTGAATAAACTTTGTTAATCTTTCGTAAGTTGAATTTATAAAATACTTGGTAAGTTAAAATTTTTAACAGAACACCTTAGTGTTATATTGAAATTTCAACTAATTAGCGTTTGAAGATTTCTAAAGTTTATAAAACGTACATAAGAAGTCTTCACTTTTCTTTTCCTAGACCCTTGTTAGCTAGTACCCTTTCAGCTCTTCCCTTTGGGTAGCAAGTTCTAGATTTCCCCGCTTATGCCTTTGTTTTTTTTTTTTCCACATTTTTATCCTCCTAGGCGCTGGGTGGTTGATACCCTTTCAACTCTTCTCATTTGGATGCGGGGTATCCTTGCTTTCCTCCTTATGTCATGACGTTTTATATTTCTCCCGGAGCGTTGGGTAATTGGTATCCTTTCAGTCCTACTCCTCAAGACACGAGGCATCATAGTGTTTCTCCTTTCGTTTTTTTTTTTCCTTAAGCGCTAGGTAGCTATTACCCCTTTCAGACCTACATATCTGAATGCAGAGCATCCTAGCTTTCCGTCCTTTTACCTTCATTTTTTTTTTTTTTTACACTTTTCTTTTAGGCATGTTGCATCTTTGGGTTGTATTCCTTACCTACGGGTCGGGCCTATCAAGGATATGTTCCAACCATCTTCCTTACGAGTAGTTATGCTGTGCATTCGTATGCACCGTGCATGGTGCATACGGATGCAATAACGACGTCGTTTTATTAAAAACGCGCGTCTCCCCTTAAAAAAAGAAATCAGGTTCGATTCCCAGCAACAACATTATGTTGTTCATTCATTCTTAAATTTTAGTTCATAGATTATAGAATTTTAGTTCATTGATTCTGGAATTATAGTTCATCGATTCTGGAATTGTAGTTCATCGATTCTGAAATTTTAGTTCATAGATTCTGGAATTTTAGTTCATAGATTCTGGAATTTTTAGTTCATAGATTAGATTTTGGAATTTTAGTTCATAGATTCTGGAATTATAGTTCATCGATTCTGGAATTTTAGTTCATATGTTGTTGCTGGGAATCGAACCTGAAATTTTTTTTTTAAGGGGAGACGCGCGTTTTTAATAAAACGACGTCGTTTTTGCATCCGTATGCACCATGCATGGTGCATACAGATGCACAGCATAATTTGCCCTTCCTTACTTGTAAGCTCCTTGGGCTGTCTTCCTTGCCTGGGGGGCCCACCAAGGATTTTTTACATGACATTCGTTTTCCCTACATGTTGGCCTATTGAGTCACCTTCCCTACATATTAGAATGAAAATGAAATATTTAATAACATGATGTTTGAATTTGATTACTAACTTGACTTATTAACATCTTAATTTTTATTTATTTGTATCTACAAAAATTGAGGCTTCAAACAAATGTGAAAAAAGACTTTATAAGAAGTTACAATATTTAAGAACATCTCAAGAATACAAGGAGAAATTCAAGCTCAATGCGCAACTACAGAAAAACAAGCCATTGAAATTTTATGATGACACTATACTAGTATTGTTTTCAAAACATATTTTGCAACGAAATAATAGCCACTTATAAAATATAAAAAAATGACAAAAGTGTTGTCAATATTTGCAATTGTTTTTGTAAAACAATATTCATCATTATTTTCATTTATTTTAATGATACAAAATTTGGTCACAATTTTAATTATTATAGTTAAAAAATATGTTACAACTATTTTTAATAATTTAGTGGTGATGATGATGGTTTTCACAATTGTTAGGAATAATTGTTAATAGAATTTAATAGACTCATCATTTCTAGTTGTAAGTTGATTTATGTATTTGAAAGCAAGATAGACTTCATCAACCCTTTGAGCGGAAGCTAAGAAAGCAACTCCAGAAAAAAGTTATCCGAAAAAAAGGCTTTGGAAGGAAGCGTCCGGAGGAAAAGGCATCGGAATGAAGCAACTAGAAGAAAATATCGAAACAAGTGAGGATTAGAAGAAGCCCATTAATTTGGAATCAAGACATCAAGTCAAGGATACCTTAATGGAAGTATCAAGGTCATTCAATGTAATCTCCCAAGTTCAAGGAAACTTTAATGAAGACTTTTTATGGGAGAACATCCTCTGAAGAAGCCCATATGAGGAACAACAAAAAGAGCCGATTGTTCTCGGTCGTCCATCAAGGTTCATCAATGATTGATGATTTTAGTAAAAAAGATGAGTCAATTTTATAATTATTGACAATTTTTAAGAGAAGAGTACATTTTATAAGTATTGAAAATTTGAAAGTTTAGTACTCCGTAATAGCAAGATCATATTCTTTGATATTTTCAAAATGAAAAGTGTGGATCCATCCACGCTTTTACGTAAGGCACTAATAACATGGTAAATTATTAACAAATTAAATGTCACAATCAAATTTAATGGAGAATAAGGCTATGCATGCTAATCTTAAAACTAATCCAATGGGATTCAAGAACCGTAGGGTCTTGTATCAGTCTTCATTTTTAGTTGGGCAAATTTGATATGATATCTTATATTCATCTATTTTCTTCAATGTTTTAAAAATTAAAAATAAATAATATAATGAAACGTGAACTTTTAATTAATAACACTCACTAATATTAAATAAAGTGAAACAAGCAGAAGTACAAAAGCTAGCTGTGTTTGACACTTCCACTACATGAAGTAAACAAATGCATAATTAAAAGGTACTACTCAGTTTCAGATCCTCACTCTTTTTGGTGATAAAATAGTCTAAAGTTGCCTAGCTAGAAGATATATAGAATAATATAATTTTAAAAAAAAAATAGAAATTAAAAAAAAAAAGAACAAAAAACTAGGGAAAACAATAATGTTGGCAGTAAAGGGCATGAGCTCTAATAATCATTTCTTGACTGAATCGCCTTTCTTGATTCTCTCTTAGATGCGAAACCTGAAAGGTAAAGAGAAAAGCAAAATCCCATTATTTAATTGGATTTAATATAATAAAAAAATTTAAATAAGATTTCAAAAAATATTTAATTTAATTACCTAAAAATTGAGAATCAATGATGAATTATTATATTAATAATTCATCAGAAATTGTAGGACTTGTTACCGGAGTCACGAGGTGCATTGCATCGGAAACACTCCATCCTATTTGCAAAGTTGTGCTCATTGCACCCTGGCCTGTTTTTTTTTTGTTATTACACCAATTATTTTTACAAAATAATAATAATAATAATAATAATAATAATAATAATAATAAACTAAGACTCTCTCATTGTGGGAACTATATGTAAATTTAGAGTGGTGATATTGGATGATTACAGTATCACTTCAATCACATCTCTTATCTTGTAGTTGAACTCTTATCTTATTAGTAGATATTTTTTAAGTGAATTTATCAAAAGACTATTTCAATCTAATTTTATCTGATTTTTTTTTTTTGAAATGTATGTAATTGGATTAAATGAGTAGTTTTATACTCCATAATAATTTTTTTAAAATAAAAATATAACATATTTATTACTTTTAAAAGTTGACAAAATTCAAAGTGGTGGAATTTTTAAAGAATGCCAAGTAATTTCACGTTATTTTATCTAATTAATTCATAGAGAATGAATTGTGAACTAATGTTAAATAACAAAATATTTGGTTACTTTAATTTTTCTTAGGAAAATGGTACTTTTTTTTTTTTTTTTTTTTGGTTTTAAGTATTACTGAATCTGACGCTATCAATGAATCATTTCTGTAATTAATTTTTCAAAGAAAATGGTGTATGTGATGACCGAAATGGTCTCTTGACTATAGTAAAATTATCAATTTAGTTCTAAGTTAATGGATGTCTAACGGTAAAATAAACGAAGGATCAAAATGGTTAAAATTTTTAAAATTAAGGATTTAATTGATAAAAAAAATAGTCAATGACAAAATCAATAATTTCGGTATAGTGAATAACCATTTTGATAATTAACTCATTAATTAATACTCCCTAATTCAAAATGAAGGGTTTATTTAATTACCTAGTGCAAATCCAATCGCCGGATTTCCAGCCAGAGCGGCTGCCGCCGGCGAACCCATAGCCTCCTCTCTGACGCGACATATAGTCAGCGGCCACCTCACCGCCGCTGAAGGAGTAATCCTCCCTGAAGGCGCCGCACTTGAAGCAGCTGGAGCGGCTGGCGAAATTGTGGGTCCCGCAGTTTCCGACGGCGCAGTACCAGTCGCCGGGCCTGACGTCCGGCCCAACGCCGGCGGCCCTCCCCAGCCCGAAACTGCCATAATTATCTCCGGGCTTTGCTTCTCCGCACCTCTGGCATGACTCTCTCCTCTGGAAGTTCAAGTGCTGGCACGACCTGCAATTCCAGTCTCCTGGCCTGTTCATTTTCCCTGTCCAATCTTTTTTTTTTTTTTAACAAAAACAAAATTCATTTTCAATGACGTAAGAATATAGAATTACATGCATTTTTACTGACGTATGTAATAATGTTATGCATGCAGATTTAAGCAGAGTTAACAGAATAAAGAAAGAAAGATTTGGGAGAAATAAATCCTAACCTATACTAGTGAAATAAGAATTCGGAAATGCCGAGGTAAGCTAAGAGAAGAGAGAAAGTGGTGAGAAGCTGTGAAATTGTTGTAATGACAGAGAGCTTTATATACTTGGAGTTCCTCGAAAATCGAGAGGATTCCATCTCCTTTGAACGGTGGAATTATATATATATATATATATATATATATATATATATATATATATATATATATATAAAAGTAGGGGATAAAGAGAAAATGGATGGGATTCAATTCCAAGAAAAATGTGCGGTGTTACCCATACATTTGTGAAATTTGATAAAGTTGTTGATGTAGGCTATACAGTGCATTGTAACTTTTAAGGCTATCAGAAATGGTATATATATGTACGTGCATGTGTGCATGGAGCCATGATTGAATTGAAGACGCAAAATTTGGATAATTTTAGACTGAAGGGTCAAATAAATCTATTTACTAATATTGATTATGATGAGGATTTGATTATTGAATATCAATCGTAACTGAGTCTGTACAAGTAATAATATAGAGAGTAGATAAAGAGTCCTAACGAACTACTAGTATAAGAGTCCTAATACTCCCCCTCAAACTCAAGACGGAGCAGCTGCAACATTGAGTTTGTCCCGTAGAAAAGAAAACCGAGTAGACGGAAGAGCCTTGGTGAAAACATCTGCTAGTTGATCCTTCGTAGAAATAAAGTGAACCTGAATCTCCTTCTTGGCAACCTTGTCGCGAACGAATTGAAATGATAATCAATCTCCACATGCTTCGTTCGGGCATGAAATACCGGGTTCGAGCACAGGTAGGTGGCACCCAAGTTGTCACACCACAGAGTTGGCGCAGAAGCCGGCGGAAAACCAATCTCTTTAAGAAGTGAAACGAGCCACGTAACCTCAGCTGAGACATCAGCTAGAGCCTTGTATTCTGCTTCTGTAGACGAACGCGCCACCGTGCGCTGCTTTCTGCATGACCAGGAAACTAGATTGGTGCCCACGTAGACCGCAAAGCCACTGGTTGACTTCCTATCATCCGGATTGCCAGCCCAATCCGAGTCAGAAAAAGCATGAACAGCAGTAGACAGAGACCTGCGAATACTGAGTCCAAGACCAAGAGTACCCTTAACATACCGTAACACCCGCTTCATCAGACTCCAATCAGCCGTGGTAGGAGACTGCATGTGCTGACAAAGCCTATTGACTACATAAGATAAATCAGGGCGAGTCACAGTCAAGTACTGCAGGGCACCCACAATGCTGCGATAGTGAGTGAGATCGGCATAAGGAGTGGTGTCAGCATCATCAGACCGAACAACTGAAACTGGGGTCGAGACCGGCTTGCAATCCACCATGCCGGCCCGCTTAAGAATGTCCTGGATATAACGCCTCTGAGAGAGGAGAACACCATCCGAGAGCGGCACTGTCTCAATGCCAAGAAAAAAAGACGGAGCCCCCATATCCCGAATCTTGAACTCTGCAGCCAGCTTGGCCACAATTCCTGAGACCCACTGTGAGTCCGAGCCCATGACCAGAATGTCATCAACATACACCAAAAAATACAACTGCACAGCACCATCAGAATAGATAAATAATGACACGTCAGTTTTAGAAGGAACAAAGCCAACAGAACAAAGAAAATCGTGCAACCGAGTGAACCAAGCACGAGGGGCCTGCTTCAAACCATAAAGAGAACGTTGCAGAAAGCACACATGATCCGGTTTCGTCTTGTCCTCATAGCCAGGCGGCTGACGCATATACACTGTCTCAGCTAGAGAACCATTCAGAAATGCATTGTGAACATCCAGTTGCCGAATGGACTAACCACGGGAGTAAGCTAAGGAAAGTAAAAGCCGAACCGTGGTGGGCTTGACAACCGGACTGAATGTCTCAAAAAAGTCTTTCCCGGCAACCTGATTAAAACCCTTAGCCACCAGCCGGGCCTTGTGACGGTCAACAGATCCATCCGCATTTCGCTTGACCCGAAATACCCACTTACACCCCACAACATTCATACCCGGAGTGTAAGGAACAAGACGCCATGTATGGTTCTGTAGCAAAGCATTAAACTCCACATCCATGGCCTCACGCCACTCTGGATGGCGCACGGCCTGCGAGTAACACGTGGGCTCAAGATCATCAGCAGCAGTGAACAAAGCAACATGATCCTTAGGGCCCATACTCCGTGTGCCCATCACATGAGACCGCGGCCCAACAACCTTGGCACCACGACCCCGACGCGGCCGACCACGACGGGCAACCTGCCCACAGTCAGATACAGTCCGCTCACTAGAATCCGAATCCGGAACCACGGGAGTAGAAACCGGTCGCTCCTCCCTAGTAGGCAAAACCGGCGCAGGAACAGCAACAACGGGGGCAACACCCCACGGGACAGCCCGGGGCTTAGCAACAACCTGCGTAGAAACACCACTAGCAAATGGAAAAACAGCCTCATCGAATCGCACATGGCGACAGATAAAGACTTTATTAGTGACAGTATCTAGACAACGATAGCCACGAAAAGAGTCAGGATAACCCAAGAAAATACACGGAGACGAACGATACTGCAGTTTATTACGATTATATAGACGCAGTAGAGGAAAACAAAGACAACCAAACACCTGCAAAAAGGAATAAGACGGAGGGGACCGATGTAGACGATAATGGGGAGACTCATTGTCTAAAACCCGAGTAGGCATCTTATTAATCAAATAGACTGTCGTTTCAAACGCAAAATCCCAATATCTAGAGGGAACAGAAGCCTGAGCCATTAATGCCAACCCAGTTTCAACTATATGCCTATGGCGACGCTCTACCCGACCATTCTGCTCGTGCGTATACGCATAGGACTGCCTGTGGCGAATACCAAGAGACTCAAACGTAGAGTGGAGCTTTTTGTACTCTCCCCCTAAATCAGATTGAATTGCAATTATTTTGTGAGAGAATGACCGCTCAACAAGAGAGCGAAAACGGTCAAAGACAGCATAGATATCGGTTTTGGCACGCATAGGATAGAACCAAACAAAACGTGTAAAATCATCCACAAACAAAACGAAGTAACGAAAACCATTAACAGATGTTATTGGCGCAGGGCCCCAAATATCAGTATACACGAGTTCTAATACACGAGGACTCGAAGTAGCAACACGAGGTAATGGAAAACGGGAAGATTTCCCTAACTGACAAGACGAACAAACATTGGACAATTCACTAGAATTAAATTGACTAACACCAGACAATTGTAAAATTTGACGCAGAACTCGTGTGTGTGGATGACCAAGCCGCTGGTGCCAAGTAGAAGACGAGACACGCGCAGCAACATTAGCAGACGGACTACGACAGGAAACAGGCCAAGTATATAAACCTCCCGACGCGCCCCCCTTAAAAAGCACCTCCTTGGTCAAGAGATCCTTCACAAGAAAATACTCAGAATGAAACTCAAAAAAGACACGATTATCCCGAGCAAAACGCTGAACAGAAAGTAAAGACGACGACAAGCCAGGGACATGCAAGACATCATTTAAACGAAAAAGTTTACTAGAAGCGGCTATCGAAGCAGAACCAACACTAAGTATAGTCATACCTGTACCATTGCCAACCCGGAGAGTGTCATGGAATAAACCTGGAAACTGACACCAGATGAGGATTTGATTATTGAATATCAATCGTAACTAAGTCTGTACAAGTAATAATATAGAGAGTAGATAAAGAGTCCTAACGAACTACTAGTATAAGAGTCCTAATAATTATTCATTAGTATCATGAATTAAAATATTGTTAATCTAGATCATTATATTCTCAATTATTTTTTATCTAACATATTTTTAGCAAGTTTAGCAAGTTTCTAACAAGTAACCCATCTAATTTGCTTACATGAAAAAATAAAATAAAATAAAAATGTTGACATGTTATTTTCCATCTAACTTGCTGTTTTGTCACTTTTTTATGTAGAAAAAATCATTTTTTTTACGTATTTTTGGATTATGTTGAATTTTTATATGGCTTGAAAGATTTCAACTCCTCCTATGTTGCGAGTGTTGAGTGTGAAAACACGTAGGGGTGTTCTAAGCGGAATGCATCCATGTTGTTGATATCATAAAATTTCCCTACAAAATATATATTTTTGTGGTGGGGGGGGGGGGTACCCCATCGCCTTCAGAAACATGGCCGCTTCCCTCGGGGACATATGACAGTCTCCTTTCTTCGTTGTCTATCTCTTTCTCTTTCCAGTGCTGCACATTATACCTCATGACGCGAAGTTCCTTAGCTTTTACTTCAGTCAGATTGTAGCTGCAGCCAGTAAACGCAAGCATGTTCTTTTCGTTGTTAATTAAGTTACACCTCAAACATTAAATCAAAAGTCATGTTAGCTATTATACCTCAAATGAAGAGCAATATACAGATCATCGTTGTCCTTTAGTCTATTAACTAGCTTTTTTTCCAAGCTCCTCAATCTCAGGTGTGTATCGAAGAGCCTCATAAAAGCATGCACCATCCAAAACCAAAATAAAAACCAATGTCAATAAATGAGTTCAAAAACCACAAAAGCGGTAACATACTTATTTCACAGCTGACGAGAAAAATAAATTCATTGATTTATTGAAAAATTCTTAGAAGAAATCAACATAATTTGGAAATAGGTAAAATAAAAATTGAATTTTTCTACCGAAAAAAGTGACAAAAACAACAAGTTAGATAAAAAAATAAAATGTTAGCATTTTGTTTTTATTTTATTTTTTCATGTAAGCAAATTAGATGGGTTACTTGTTAGAAACTTGCTACAAATGCTAGATGAAAAATAATTGAGAATATAATGACTTAGATGGACCATAATTTAATTCATGGTGCTAGATGAACAATCAATGTTAGTACATGCGTCTATTTGACTTTTCTGCCATACTTTTATTTTGCTAGATGCATTCAAAATTGTGTATTGAATTCTAATTTTTATGAGTTAAATGAATATAAATCATCTACTATATTAAAGTTAGACATTTTAGGAAAAAATAAAATTAGCAATAATAATCTTCCCACCCACAAAAAAGGTTGTCGTTTTAAATTTTATATTTTATAAAAAAAAATTATTAATTATTTTGAGATTTAAATGCCTTGAAA